ATATCCTGACACTTTACTGAATTCCTGTACAAGTTCTAGCAGTTTTGGAGTGGAGTCTTTTGGGTTTTCCACATATAGTATCATATCACCTCCGAAGAGTGATAGTTTGACTTCTTCTTTGCCGATTTGGATGCCTTTAATTTCCTTTTGTTGTCTGATTGCTGAGGCTAGGACTTCTAGTACTATGTTGAATAGCAGTGGTGATAATGGACATCCCTGCCGTGTTCCTGACCTTAGTGGAAAAGCTTTCAGTTTTTCTCCATTGAGAATGATATTTGTGGTGGGTTTTTCATAGATGGCTTTGATAATATTGAGGTATGTGCCCTCTATCCCTACACTTTGAAGAGTTTTGATCAGGAAGGGATGCTGTCTGTACTTTGTCAAATGCTTTTTCAGCATCTATTGAGAGCATCATATGGTTCTTGTTCTTTCTTTTATTAATGTATTGTATCACATTGATTGATTTTTGGATGTTGAACCAACCTTGCAGCCCTGGAATAAATCCCACTTGGCCATGGTGAATAATCCTTTTAATGTACTGTTGAATTCTTTTTTTTTTTTTAAGATTTTATTTATTTATTTTGACAGACAGAGATCACAAGTAGGCAGAGAAGCAGAGAGAGAGAGAGGAGGAAGCAGGCTCCCTGCTGAGCAGAGAGCCCGATGTGGGGCTCGATCCCAGGACCCTGGAATCATGACCTGAGCCGAAGGCAGAGGCTTTAACCCACTGAGCCACCCAGGCGCCCCTGTATTGTTGAATTCTATTGGCTAGTATTTTGGTGAGAATTTTCGCATCTGTATTCATCAAGGATATTGGTCTGCAGTTCTCTTTCTTGGTGGGATCCTTGTCTGGTTTTGGGATCAAGGTGATGCTGGCCTCATAAAATGAGTTTGGAAGTTTTCCTTCCATTTCTATTTTTTGGAACAGTTTCAGGAGAATAGGAATTAGTTCTTCTTTAAACGTTTGGTGGAATTCCCCTGGGAAGCCATCTGGCCCTGGGCTTTTGTTTGTTTGAAGATTTTTGATGACTGTTTCAATCTCCTTACTGGTTATGGGTCTGTTCAGGTTTTCTATTTCTTCCTGGTTCAGTTGTGGTAGTTTATATGTCTCTAGAAATGCATCCATTTCTTCCAGATTGTCAAATTTGTTTGCATAGAGTTGCTCATACTATGTTCTTATAATTGTTTGTATTTTTTTGTGTTAGTTATGATCTCTCCTCTTTCATTCATGATTTTATTTATTTGGGTCCTTTCTCTTTTCTTTTTGATAAGTCTGGCCAGGGGTTTATCAATCTTATTAATTCTTTCAAAGAACCAGCTCCTAGTTTTATTGATTTGTTCTATTGTGTTTTTTTTGTTTTTTTTTTTTCTATTTCATTGATTTCTGCTCTGATCTTTATTATTTCTCTTCTCCTGCTGGGTTTAGGCTTTCTTTCTTGTTCTTTCTCCAGCTCCTTTAGGTGTAGGGTTAGGTTGTGTACCTGAGACCTTTCTTGTTTCTTGAGAAAGGCTTGTACCGCTATATATTTTCCTCTCAGGACTGCCTTTGCTGTGTCCCACAGATTTTGAACCGTTGTGTTTTCATTATCATTTGTTTCCATGAATTTTTTCAATTCTTCTTTAATTTCCTGGTTGACCCATTCTTTCTTTAGAAGGATGCTGTTTAGTTTCCATGTATTTGGTTTCTTTCCAAATTTCCTCTTGTGATTGAGTTCTAGCTTCAGAGCATTGTGGTCTGAAAATATGCAGGGAATGATCCCAATCTTTTGATACCAGTTGAGACCTGATTTAGGACCCAGGAAGTGATCTATTCTGGAGAATGTTCCATGTGCACCAGAGAAGAATGTGTATTCTGTTGCTTTGGGATGAAATGTTCTGAATATATCTGTGATGTCCATCTGGTCCAGTGTGTCATTTAAGGTCTTTATTTCCTTGTTGATCTTTTGCTTGGATGATCTGTCCATTTCAGTGAGGGGAGTATTAAAATCCCCTACTATTATTGTATTATTGTCGATGTGTTTCTTTGATTTTGTTATTAATTGGTTTATATAATTGGGTGCTCCCATGTTAGGGGCATAGATATTTAAAATTGTTAGATCTCCTTTTTGGACAGATCCTTTGAGTATGATATAGTGTCCTTCCTCATCTCTTATTATAGTCTTTGGCTTAAAATCTAATTGATCTGATATAAGGATTGCCACCCCTGCTTTCTTCTGATGTCCATTAGCATGGTAAATTGTTTTCCACCCCCTCACTTTAAATCTGGAGGTGTCTTCGGGTCTAAAATGAGTTTCTTGTAGGCAACATATAGATGGGTTTTGTTTTTTTATCCATTCTGATACCCTGTGTCTTTTGATTGGGGCATTTAGCCCATTAACATTCAGGGTAACTATTGAGAGATATGAATTTAGTGCCATTGTATTGCCTGTAAGGTGACTGTTACTGTATATTGTCTCTGTTCCTTTCTGATCTACTACTTTTAGGCTCTCTCTTTGCTTAGAGGACACTTTCAATATTTCCTGTAGAGCTGGTTTGGTGTTTGCAAATTCTTTCAGTTTTTGTTTGTCCTGGAAGCTTTTTGTCTCTCCATTTTCAATGATAGCCTAGCTGGATATAGTATTCTTGGCTGCATGTTTTTCTCATTTAGTGCTCTGAATACATCATGCCAGCTCTTTCTGGCCTGCCAGGTCTCTGTGGATAAGTCCACTGCCAATCTAATATTTTTACCCTTGTATGTTACAGACTTCTTTTCCCGGGCTGCTTTCAGGATTTTCTCTTTGTCACTAAGACTTGTAAATTTTACTATTAGGTGATGGGGTGTGGACCTATTCTTGTTGATTTTGAGGGGGGTTCTCTGCGCCTCCTGGATTTTGATGCTTGTTCCCTTTGCCATATTAGGGAAATTCTCTCCAATAATTCTCTCCAATATACCTTCTGTTCCCCTCTCTCTTTCTTCTTCTTCTGGAATCCCAATTATTCTAATGCTGTTTCGTCTTATGGTGTCACTTATCTCTCGAATTCTCCCCTTGTGGTCCAGTAGCTGTTTGTCCCTCTTTTGCTCAGCTTCTTTATTCTCTGTCATTTGGTCTTCTATATCACTAATTCTTTCTTCTGCCTCATTTATCCTAGCAGTGAGAGCCTCCATTTTTTATTGCACCTCATTAGTAGCTTTTTTGATTTCAACTTAGTTAGATTTTAGTTCTTTTATTTCTCCAGAAAGGGCGTTTATATCTCCCGAGGGGGTTTCTCTAATATCTTCCATGCCTTTTTCGAGCCCGGCTAGAACCTTGAGAATCGTCATTCTGAACTCTATATCTGACATATTACCATGTCTGTATTGATTAGGTCCCTAGCCTTTGGTACTGCTTCTTGTTCTTTTTTTGTGTGTGTGTGGTGAATTTTTCACCTTGTCATTTTGTCCAGGTAAGAGTATATGAAGGAGCAAGTAAAATACTAAAAGGGTGGCAAAGACCCCAGGAAAATACACTTTAACCAAATCAGAAGAGACCCCAAATCGTGGGAGGGAGAAAGGGGATAAAAAGAGGTTCAGAAAAAAAAAAAGAAAAGAAACAATTAAAAAAAGGAAATGAATAAAAAATATAAAAAAGAAAATATATATATGTATATATATATACATATATATATATATTAGATAAACTAGTTAAAAAACGTTAAAAAAGAAAAGGGTAGAAGTTAAAAAAAAATTTAGCAGAAGAAGAAAAAAAAATTGAAAAAAAACCCCAACAAATTAAATTAACTGCAAGACTAATGAATCATGGGGAGAAAGCCATGAGTTCCGTGCTTTGCTTTCTCCTCCTCTGGAATTCCGCTGCTCTCCTTGGTATTGAAACTGCACTCCTTGGTAGGTGAACTTGGTCCCGGCTGGGTTTCTTGTCGATCTTCTGGGGGAGGGGCCTGTTGTAGTGATTCTCAAGTGTCTTTGCCCCAGGCGGAGTTGCACCGCCCTTACCCAGGGCCGGGCTGAGTAATCCGCTCGGGTTTGCTTTCGGGAGCTTTTGTCCCCTGAGCGCTTTCCGTAGAGTCCGGAGGATGGGAATGAAGATGGCGGCCTCCCAGTCTCCGGCCTGGAGGAGCCGAGAGCCCGGGGCCCCACTCCTCAGTGCGCCCTCAGAGAACAGCGCCCAGTAACTCTCGTCTCCCTGGCCTCCGGCCGCGCTCCGAGCTGACCGAGCCTGCGAGCGGTTCAAGGTAAGCCCGAGCTGAGAGCTCACTCCTCGGCTCCGTCTCTGTAGCCGGCTTCCCCGTTCTAATACCTGCGAGCTCTGCGATACTCAGACACCCCCGATCCTTCTGTGACCCTGCGGGACCTGGGGCCACGCTGACCCCGCGTGGGCTTCACCCCGGTTAAGCCTCTGGAGCGATGTCCCTCAGCAGAACAGACTTTTAAAAGTCCTGATGTTGTGCTCCGTTGCTCCGCCGCTTGCCGGGAGCCGGCCCCTCCCCCCCGCGGTCTATCTTCCCATCGCTTTGGATTCACTTCTCCGCCAGTCCTACCTTTCAGAAAGTGGTTGATTTTCTGTTTCTAGAATTGCTGTTCTTCTTCTCTTCGATCTCCCGTTGGATTTGTAGATGTTTGCAATGTTTAGATAAGCTATCTAGCTGATCTCCCGCAACCTGAAGTAGCCTCAGTTGCTACTTCTCCGCCATCTTGACTCCTCACCAGCATTTTCAATCAGGCTGATATTTGATCCCATTTCTTTTCTGGGACATTCAGAGTCTCCAGACCCCATATCTTCACTGAATTATGAATTCTTTTTTTGGAAGGGGAGTCTTTCTCCATAGACTACTGGTTGGAGTAGAAATCTATGGTTGCAACCATTTAGCGTCTCAACAAACATGGGACCAGTCCTGCTGCTCCTTCCCTGGGAAGTTAACATAAATGTTTATTGACAGTGCTGTCCTCCAGAAAATAGTTGCTGATTCATTGCCTTACACTGAAACCCTGTGTTTTTTCCTTTCTCTTCCTTCCTCTTTCTAAGGAGACACTCTGACCGAGAGCGCATTTTGGGGACCCACTTGATGTGATGTGGTCTTGGTTGGCTGATCCTTCTTCCATCTGTGGATTGTGGTCCCTGTGACAGCAGGGGGTCAGCCTCCCTCTTTCCTCCAGAAGATTGATCTTCTAGGGACTCAGCGACAATGGAAGTCTTGGGGTTTCTCAAACTGGAAGTGAATGGCCCCATGGTGGCAGCGGCCCTCTCAGCGGTCCTCTTGGCCCTCCTGAAGTGGTAAGTCAGCCAGCAAGTTCCCACGACCGTGACATTGTCAGCATCAGCTGCCCTGGAGCCTTGCTAGAGCCAGGGCGGGGGATGTGGGAGTGTTTTTCTTCTCTCCTAATCTAGAGGGAGTTGAGTATTAACACAGCTTCAGAATGAAAAGCAAACAGCCAGGTTAATCTTTTGCTAAAATGCATGAGATCGAGGTGTCAGGAAAGGCTGGTGATTCAGTGACTGAGAACGCTACACATAATTAAGTTTGAAAGATGGAAAAAGAAACAAATTAGAAAGGTTTGGGGGGAAGCATTTCCTCGTGTGCGTCATATCTTCTCCCTTTGCTTTTCTGAGATCTGCTCCCCATGATGGGGATACTGTGGATTCAGCCTCTTGGTTCATGGGACATTAAAAACGGGAGGGACATAGGAACTGTCTGGCATCATGGGCCACTTTGCAGGAGGACATGTGCAGGGATTTCTGTGGGTTTAAGGACAAAGTGGTGGAACTAATTTTCTAGTTTTCTGCTATTTGGTAGAAGGGAATGGATTCTGGTGGCTGGAGTGCACGAGACCCTAAAAGGATCTCAGATTTGAACTGAGAGTAGCTTCCTGTTACCTGGTTAATTCCACAGGAGGCTTTCAAAGTCCAGCTCTGCCGAAGGCCTGTCTGTCGAGGGAAGGGCGCGCAATATGGGCCCATTTATGCATACGTACCCGGCTGGTTTAACTCACTACAGTCACCCACTCGATCCAAAGCACCTGGATTTACGTGGCTCCGGTTTTTGAGGGGAAAGTGGAAAAATTAATGGAGAACTTGAGTTTGAGCAGAATTTCAATTTATGTTTTTGGTGGTAATAAAGCCTCCCCTAGATTAATAACTGGGAAAGCACTTTGAAAAGCATCAAGCATTATGCAAATGCAAGGTATTATTCTTTTGGAATTTGCATAGCTGAAAATGGAATTCACGTTTGATGTTCTATGATGATGAAATGACTTCTTGGAAATTGGCTCTGAAACTCAGCTTCAGTCCCAGTGCTATTTTTGCTTTTTAACTGGTTTAATTATCTTTTGAACTTTTCTCAGTGCAGCTTATTTTGCCTTGAAACCAGCCACATGCAAAACCAGGAGTCACGAGTTGCTCCTCCCACCCCCACCACCCCACTCATCCATCTCAAAGTGTTCCTGTGCTCAGGGATGCCTATGCCTCAGTCTGGACACATCATAGGTGCTTAGTAGATGGCAGCCACCATCATGTAAGCTAACGCAGAGGAAGAGAAGTCTTTAGTGCTTCAGGTGTATATATATATTTTTTTAAAAGATTTTATTTATTTATCTGACAGACAGAGATCACAAGTAGGCAGAGAGGCAGGCAGAGAGAAAGGAAGGGAAGCAGGCTCCCCGCTGAGCAGAGAGCCCGACGCGGGGCTCCAGGCTCCATCCCAGGACCCTGAGATCATGACCTAAGTCGAAGGCAGAGGCTTTAACCCACTGAGCCACCCAGGTGCCCCTCAGGTATATTTTAAATTTCTTCTTCATAGGATTATGAATCTATTTTCCCATCAATAGCTATGCTCTGACTGTGGTTCTCAAAGTATGTACCGTCTGAATCCTCCAGGCCGTTTCACAGCATTAATGTTGGTATTAGACACTTTTCTACATGTTTCTGTCTTTGTTGTGTGTTCCCCCGCCCCCCTCAGCTCCTGGCTCAGTGCCTGACTTATAGCATGGCCTCGATAAATGTTTGATGAACAAATGAATGAACTGCATACATTAGTGTCGTTCTGGTCATGGAAAGGGGCATGTGTCCTGACTGATAAGCTGCTGTAACTGGATGGGTATCATTCGTGTAGATCAGGAAGTCGCAGACAATAACACTGCACCATTCAGCAAGGCAGCTGTGCATCTGTGATCCACTCCTGGGGCCATATTAATAACCTGGGCCAAAGACACAGAGATTAGATAAAAGCATGCAGCAGCCACGGTAAACAGGAAGTGAAAGCTGACTTCCGTTTGTTATCTTAAAAATATTTGTTGATCTGTTAATGTATGCCAGGCCTGGAGTAGAGGCTTTCTGGTACAAGGTCAGGAAATAGGGGGTCGGGATCCTATGCCCAAGGCAGGGGGAGACATGGAGGCTCTGGGGTAAGCATGGTGCCTGGAGGGAATCATGCTGAAGGAGAGCAGGCAGCAGAAGACGGTGGCTACAGCTGTGACTCTAGAGCTCCTGGGTCTATCCCTTGATCCAGCTCAAGGTGACCATTCTTGGGCTCTCAAGCCTCCTCTTCCAGGCAAGGCTGTAGGGATCCTCTGAGCAACTGACTCCTGCTTGAATGAGGTGGGACCTCTCCTCCTGCTTCCTTCTCCTGAGGGGTACTTGTGGAGAGAGAGCAGTGCTCAGGGAAAGCTGGAGGTGGACAGATCCCCATAGCCATCTTGCTCCCAAGAAGACACTGTGGAGGGTGGCTTGTCTTGATCATTCAAACTCCTTTGTCTTTCCTTTGAGAGTCATCTTTGCCATTGGGTCAGATAAGAGTGTCAGGAAGAGCCTAAACTCTGAGAAAGTAGAATTAGGAGGATTGCATCTTGCCTCGGGCATTGGCCTGTGAGTTCCTGCCAGGGAGGGGTGAGGTCTCATGTCTCACTGCAGTTCCAGAAATCTCTATCCATGGCACAGATGTCCTTCTAGCATTTGGTTTAATGGCAGTACAGGTAAGAAGTACACATTCATGAGCCCAGCATCCAGGACTTAGGGTTTGGCTCTTGCCTCTTTCAGTGGCTTCCTCTCCCCCATAACCTGTTCTGAAAGTGGTCGTGTTGCTGCCTGTGTCCTTCCTTTGCCCTTCCATGCTTGGAATTCCCTTCTTCTTCTCCTTCCTTCAGTGCTCAGTTCAGGGGCATCTCCTCAGGGGAGCTTCTCCTCTTTGTCCAGAGCACTTAGGAGTCCCCAATCAGTGCTGCTTTTATCATATCTCCCATCACACTCCCCCCATACCCCAATGCCCAGCCTGTGGCACTGGTGCATTACAAATGCTAGCTGAAGGCTAATTCCAGCCTCTGATCTCTGTTGGTATTTTTCTTGCTGGTTCTTCTCTTGGCCTTCCCAGATCACTACAGATCTTAACAATTGTGCCCACACGAGTCACCCCTTTTCCTGAAAGCCTCTTGTGTTTTCAGTTTGTACCAACTCAGTGACCCCTTTTTAAATTGTTGCTGTAGGCCCAGCCGCACTGTCAAACAGAGACCATGAGGTCTACTAATAAAGACTTCTTAATCACGAAGTGCATATGTGAATTTGGAAAGAAGAAAGCAAAAGAGTCAATTTCATTCAAAAAGAGACCATTATAAAACAGGCACAGTATATTTCTATAGTTTTCCTCAAAGTGCATTTGACACAATTTTCAACAACACGTATTTAAATCAACAGTTGATGGGGTATCAGGAGATCAAGGCTGCCCCACTGGGGCTGGAGCTGGGGCAGACATATAGAATATATTAGCCAGAAGTACATGAAACACACACAAAGGTGATTAACTCACATGACAAGACATTTTCAAAGCTCATTTTTTTCTGGGTAAAACTGTTTGAAAGTTTTACTTCTGGAAAAGATTTGATGTATAAGAAGTAAGTTGTATGAACTGAATATTGCTAGAGACAACCTTAACTTCTAGTGTATTTAAACTTTCAAGCACCCCTAATACTTGGCAGCTGGATTCCCGATGGCAAAGATTGCTTTATTCTTTAAAAGAGCATAAGGAAGTGGCCCAAATATTAACACTGGTTTTTATTCCTTGGTGGGATTACAAGTGATTTCTATTTCTTTTTTTAGTCTTTTGACAGCTTCCATATTTCTTTCATGCATATGAGTTACTGAACAAAAAATATAAAATAAAAAAAGAGAGAAACTTTACTAAAAAGAAGAGAAAATTGCTCTTCTCCAGTAGTGAAGAGGAAACCAGTTTTATGCTTTGGGTGTGGAAGTTTTCAGGATGATAATCTCATTATTTCTACCAATAGAGTACAATGTACAAGGGGAATTTGGAGTGATGGGAGAGCTTCTTGGCTAATGAGGCAGTGCAAAAAGTAAACTGTAATGGTTCCATTAAGTAGCTAAACAGTCCAAGAAGGTTAAATGTATGAATACACTGGAAGGTGAGAAGGGCTGTCTTGGAAAGATGCAAAGGCTTTTAATGCCAGGCTGCATTTAAAGCTCAGGAGCCCAAGACTCAGAGGGTATAAATCAATTGGTTGTTAAAACAGGAATCAGGCTGCTTTAGGGTTCTGATCAAGGCTCATTCTAAGACCAGGTTAAGGTAAAATGTTACTGGTTGATTATTTTTTTTTAAGAATTTATTTATTTATTTGACAGAGATCACAAGTAGGCAGAGAGGCAGACAGAGAGAGAGAATGGAGGAAGCAGGCTTCCTGCTGAGCAGAGAACCCGATGCGGGGCTCGATCCCAGGACTTCGGGATCATGACCCGAGCTGAAGGCAGAGGCCTTAACCGACTGAGCCACCCTAGTGCCCCGTTACTGGTGATTGTTAAGACTTACAACTATAATGAAAATCACTGGACCAGAAATTATCTTGGTATCTCTTGGTCCAAGAAAGCTTGCTTTACATACGGGAGGACTAGATTCTAATTCTAAGCCCAGACTCTATCCAGTAGTCTAGATAATCTAATCCTAGACCATATTCAGAAGAAACCATATCTCCCTGGGAGGCAAGGAAGGCTTAATATCCACCAATCACTTGACATAATACATTGCACTAACAGAATGGAACAACAACAAAAAATATATGTATATATATATATAATCATCCCAATAGATGCAGAAAAAGCATTTGATAAAATTCAACTTCCTTTTCTGTTAAAGATTTTCAATGGATTAGGTATAAAAGGAATATACCTCAGTATAAAGACTGTATATGACAAGCCCACAGCTAACTTTATACTTGACAGTGAAAAGATGAAAACCTTTCTCTAGGATCAGAATAAGACAAGGATGCCCACTCTCA